GTATCAGGGAACCTCTTTGATTCCTGTACTCTTTTTCATCCTACAGAGTTTCTTTTTACCTTGAGGAGTCTGTAAAACGAGTCTGTGTATGTGTGTGTGCATAATCATAATGGCATCTTAAAACATAGTAGCAAACCACTGTTGTTATTAAACAGAAAATTCCACCCTTAAATTACTAATAATAAGAAATATTTTAAAAAAGAAGATTCTATCTGAAGTTACAGTTCAGATTTGAGGTATGGAAAAATCAAAGGCTTTTATAAACCTTCAGTGGTCCTGTGTTAGCTTGTATTAGTCCATAGGGTAGCAATGACAGTGCAGAAGAAGCTGGTGGGCACCCAGTCCTCACACCATCCCCCTCTGCTACTGACCACTACTCTGGAAATATGGCTTTCATTGCAAAATTAGATTGTTTTCTCAGTCCTTGACTTGGAAGTCCTTGAAAATGTGGTGAAAAGAAAACTTGGTACCTGTGTATCTTGCAGGAGGCTCAGAACAGCCATTCTAAGCATGGAAAATTGCCTCATATGTCTCTAGAAATTAAACATCATTCTTAGCTCATTTAGGAGAGGGGGAATATCTTCAGGTCATTGTGTATGGTGCCTTAGGTGAGAAATATTAACTCCCCCCCCCCAACGGATTGAGATCTAATAGGGAAAAAATAAAGTCATAACATCAAAGAAAATGTGAAGCATAGTAAATGCAAAACATTTTGAAAGATCTTGCCCTCTGTCTGGTAAGATCTGCACTAAAACATTTGTCTTCTAAAGGAGACATCTGTATGGAGTTAGCTGTGTATGGAATAATGGAATAGCTAACACTGATATCCTAAGCCCCTGATAAGCGCAAGCAGGCAAACACAGGAGAGGGGTTTATGGTTTGCTTTATGACAGCTAGCAGGATAATGTAAGTCTTCCTGCAGAAACACTGTTATATCTGACATATCTGCCTCTTTTACCAGAGACCACCACTGACAGGTGCAGCTGGAGAGCTTCTGATGTGATGGTGAGGCCTCTGCAGTTCTCCAACACCTCTTTCCCACTCCAGAATTAAGACAACCTTGTAAAATCCTTGTCTCAGTAGAAACCTCCATAATCTCATGCAAAGTGTGACATTTTGGATAGAGAGAAAAGCAGCTACTTTGTTATATCTTTTTCACTGTGCCTTGTGCCTGATACTATACGAATTTGTTGTCTTCTACCTCTTTCCTCCCTCCAGCACTTTCTCTATCAGCTTCCTGAAAGGTTAGACATGCCATAGTCAGATGCTTCACTGATCTATGTCAGGAAATGCTCTCTTTAAGGATAATTTAAACAGCTAAGTGTCCGTCTTTCAACATTATTGTGGACAACAGTGAAATGTCAGTGTGCTAACAATCTAACCAGTACCATTTCTTCAGACTGTTTGATCTAACTTTTAAGATACTTGCATTGACCATCAGTGTCTAAACTGTGCTAAATATTATTGAAAATACTCAAATTTAACTCACTGTTAATTTTGTTGACTTGGAGGTAGAAATTTTCGAGGTTCTCACTGACAGTTGGAATGCTCTTCAGCTGATTGAAGGAGAGATCCAACTCAACCAGTGATGTGATGTTGAAGACATTGCCTGGTATTCCAGAATCTGTTAATTTATTGTGGGATAAACGCAAATATTGCAGGGCTTTAAAACCTTGGAAGTATTCATCAGGAACATTTGAGATCTGGTTATTATCAAAATACAGCATGAGTAAGGAGTGAGGCAGTCCTGTTGGTAGCTTTGTAAGTCGATTGAAGCTTAAGTCAAGATACAAAAGTGAATTCAGGCCTTTAAAAGCCCCAGAAATAGAATCTGCTTTCAGCTGGTTGTTCTGGAGGTGAACGACAGTCAGATTCACTAGCCCCTCAAGTGCACCAGGATTAACTTTTGTGATCTTGTTGTGACTTAATTGCAGGTCATCCAGAGTTTTGGGGAGTGGTCCAACAGCTTCGGTCAAATTGTTGTAGTTAATGTGAAGTTTTTTCAGATTCTTTAGTTTAGAGAAGACTCTTCCCTTAATTTTTGAATTTTCCAAATGGTTGTGGTCTAGGATCAGCCACTGTAGGTCTGTTACGTTATCAAACGTGTTCTCTTCAATGCCCTCAATCATATTGTTTCGAAGATAAAGGTATTTTATTCCACTTGGTACAATCGGAATGGTTTTCAGCTTAAGATTGTCACAATACATGGCAGTAGGGTAGCTTAAAGGACAATTACATTCTGGAGCACAGACTGCTGCAGATGGCCCAAAAGGATCATAACCATAATCATCTGCAGGACCATAGTCATATTGGCAAAAAATGCCACTAATCAATAACAGAAAAACGGGTAGGGAGTTTAAAGTCATCTTTGCAATGCGTCTTGTACCTGTATGGTGAAAGGAAATAAAAAAGTTATAACTTTATTTCCCTCTTTCAGCAATATTTGATATTTTACCATCTAAGTATTACAAATAAAAATGAATTAGGGCTTCCTGTTTAGAGCTATTAATTGAGGAAAAGAATATATTAGTTTGTTAGTATTACATTGTTACTACTATAAACTTACAGTCCCTGTCTTGTTATAATCTGCCTTTGTAATGGAAAACTACAGGTCATTCTGTTGTTGTAAGTAAACTATTCTTTATAGCTTCCTGAATTCATTCATTAAGTCACAGAAGGTTGATAAAGTCCAAGGTTTTTAAACTTGTCACAGAAAAAGTTTTGCTGAAGGCCATGGTCAGAGGCAGTTCTGCCATTTAAATTGTATCAAGCATTCCTAATATACTGAATTACCTCATATAAAAATAACATGCAGTGAATTTCCTAAGTTTTAAAAAGCCACGGAAGTTACAAACTGAGGGTAATGTTGTTCTGTATAGTGTGTTTCCAAGATGCCTGTAGCTTGAAATACCTTCTCATGGATCACATCCAGTAAAGCATGGTTCACTAAGTTTCATATTCACCTAAAGAACAAACTAATAAAAATACATAGCATATTCTCCTGGACATGTCAAACAATCAGCACTGCCTGAGTGTGCATGAGTATACTCTATCTACCACACATCTGAAATTACTGAATTTGAGATAGTGTAAGTGTTCTTGCAAACTCTATATATAACAATAAATGCACTGATCACATTGTAGAACCATTCTAATTCAACAGAGCCATAAAGCACTGGCTTCACGTAGTTGGTCTTCCAGTTCTGTAAAAGGATGTTCAATGTCCTTAGAGCTCTTTTATTGTGACCCAGTATGAGTGGTCTCACCTTACTTTTTAAGGGCATTTCTCATCAGATACTCCACAAGATGCTGATAAGTGAAATTAGTACCTTGCTTTTACTCCTTACTACCTAGATAGATGTTGGGTTGAAAACTGCTGTTCAGGCAGTGAAATGATTAACAAAATCCTTAGAGTCTTCTTATTCTCAAGTAATTTCAGAAAGTATGCAAGCCCTGTAAACAGACCACCAGACACTAATCTCAGATCTGGGCAATCTCCCAGCAGAGTAAGTTTGTCTTGCTATCATCATTGTTTAGTGTTACACAGAGTGCATAGTGTTAAAATGCAGGACTATAGCTAGAAAGTCTTCCCTAATTCTAAATTTCCTTACTTCTATGGACTTGCTAAAAGCCACATCATATTCTAGTTAGCTAATAATCTCAACTGAAGTACCTGTGAGCAGGGCCTATTGATCTCACGCAGTACAGCACAAAATTTTTTAAAAAATGTTTGCATGTTATCTCCAGTCAGTTTCCCACAAAGTCCCTCTGCTACATACTAAGCTGCTGTCCCCTGCATAAGGGGGACATACCTTTTGCTCCCATTACATCACAAACCAGAGAATACAGTGATCATTGAAATATGAGTTATCAGTACAATTTCATTTGTCTGTTCTTCACTGCTGCATGAGAACATGCAAACTCAATCTTCAATCCCCTGCTGGTATAAATAAGTACAGCTCTGCTGAAAGCAAAGACACTACAGTGACCCAATTCAGCTTAAAATCTGGTCCTGTTTAGGTACTAAACATTAAGGATAGAGGACTACTGCTTCTGTAGTCAAAGTATATTTTAATGAATATCTTGGACTACACTGGCCTCACAGTGATTTTTTTACACATCTGTATCATTTCATAGTCTTACTGATAAAGTAGCATAAACATCCTATTTTAAATTCAAATTCTATCGTTATTCTAGTTTCAATTTATATTTTTAATGCTAAATTTTATTATTAATTTCATAGGCTGACAGTTCTTTTAAACAGTATATAATGTTTATCTGCTCTGTAGAACCCTGGAAGAAATTTAAAAAGTTAAATATCAGGTGTTTTGAATTAGGTTATCAGAAACATTTTAAAATGTAGGTGACAATTCTGTAGTGCAAGGGCATGTAAGTAACACAAAATAGCAAAGTATATATGTGGTATGGTTAACCTGTTTTATTCATGGATTTCTCATTCATATATCTAGATGTTTCTGTGTCACAAGTGTAAAAGGTAAATAGATTTGTACACATACTTGTTTGTTGCACTGAACTATATGAATCCAAAAGATAAAATCAGGATACATTCTTAGACATTTGTCTTACAACATAAACATGCTTGAACTAATTGCCTGTGTTTGTTCTAACCAGTTACACTGTAAAATACCTGTGAAAATATTTGTGAAGTTGCTCAGGCAACTTGCCAAAACATACTAAATGACAAATCCCTGATTGTGGAAAATGCTTACTACAATACAAACTATTCAAACTATTTTGGAGCTCCTCTATGCCACTTTAATTCTAAAGTTGTTGTGAAACAAAATAAATATGAGCTTATCATTCAATCAGCCTTAAACTAAATATTCCTTAATTCAAACTTTCAATAGTGTACTTAAAATGTGTTTTAAATTTAACACAAAATTTCAAAATCATTTTCCTCTCGTTATTTACTTGATTAATTATTTAAATATTAGGATACCTTGTCTTTTGTAAAGGAGGCAAAATGGTTTTACAAGTTATGAATGAATAAGCAAGCAGTGAGCAGTCTTAAAAATTTCTTTATATTGTACATCAACTCTTCTTTTGAAATAGAACAAAACGGACTCTAAAAAAGTGCAACAGTCAAATGCTGATGCACAAAATATGTGAGGTTTTAAGGAAAGAGAGAAAATGAATCCACTAAGCAACCGTTGATTTGTGTTCAATTTAAAAATTGGCAAACTTATCCTGTCATGTTTTCACGTTCCCATTACAACCACTTTTAAATAGCTGAACATTACGGTTAAAACATGCAGCAGCACTTACCTTACTGCCTTGAAGCTGCTTTCTTTAATTCCCAGAGCAGATGCAATAAGAGACTGTATCGACCAATATATGCTGTAAACAGTGTCAGGAGGTACAAGTCTGCCAGATCCTCTGTGTTACAAGAGAAAAAAAAAAAGCCCTAGTCACGCTGTTCTCTGAAGCTGCTATGTCATCATGGTGATCTTGTGGTGTGGCATGTACAAAAATGCAGCTCTCTAATGAAGTGCAGGTGGATACCATATTTTGTACAAGGACAACCCATGTGTTATTCTTGTGGGATGAAAGAATGATCAGTGTTTCACAAACCTGAGAAAGTTTAGACCACTAGCCATAACCTTATACAAGAATTTTTTGTATTTTAAAGGGAAAACATTTTAGATTGTAAAACAAATTACAAACAGACTTTTGTTTTCCAACTTATTTTATACTGCTAGACATGAGCTAACAAATAGCACTCAGACCTCAATGCTGCTGGGCTTCTTCAGCCAAGTGACTCATTCATTTTTTTCTGCCTTTTTCTTTAACTATCTTGTGTCCACAGTAAAGCATCCTTAATAAAAGTTTTAGCTTAAGGAGCAGAACTAAAGATGCAAGATTATCTTTAAATTATAACCTTTTTCACAGCACTAAATACTGAGTTCAAATTTTCTTCTGCAAAACATTGGAATTTGTTTGGTCTGTAGATTTTCTTTGGTGATTGAATGTATGTTTGCTTAATAAAAACACATCCCAGGAACAGTTTTTCAGCAGTTACTGTAAACTCACTTTATACATTTGTTCATTTCTGCACTTACAGCTTTCTCCCTCTTTTCAGAATCTGGAACTACTCAGCTTTACGTTGTCTGTTTCTTATTCCATGGATGTAGTTCAAGAATGCATCTTAAGGCTTGGATAAGATGTTATTTTCACCAGGCAATGCCAAAAAATAATGCACTAAGACAGTAACTGTTTAAAGTGGGTCTTAATGTTTCCATGAGAACCTTCCCTTATCTCTAAATGGTGGATGTCTTCCCTTTTTATGGGAGGCAAGCTCTGTCTTAGAAAGTTGGATGGGGACAAACATAAAATGTGCATATATAAAGCATGCATGTGCTATTTTAAAGTGTCTTGTCTGTTTAATTGTACTTAACTCTAGCTGTTTTGGGTACAGATCAAGCTTTTTTGTCTGTTATCAACTGGCTATCTTTATGAAAAGTTGTGGTACAGGATGTGGCTGGGCTGGTGAAACCTAGCAGCTTCCTGGAGCTCCTGGAAACCTAGAGGAGCCTGGATGTGGGCTTCCCCCAAAATCTGCTGCAGATACATTTGTGTTGCATGCCAGTGTGGGTTACTGGGAGCACGGAAAGGCCTGGCATAATTCACTGCCCTTCATGGAGAACAGGAAAGACGCCAAACAATTACAGACCTCCGTACTTCTGCAATAACACAATTAGCAAAGTTGCTCAAGACAAGAGTGCTAAGTGCCAGTGCAGCCCACAGGGAGAGAACACTGCTTTTTTGATGTTCTGATATTATTCCTGTCCCCTCACATGGGACAACCATTTAGACATTAGGAAACATGATGATGACAGACCATAACTACATTACTATCTGAATGATGTAAATAAGTGAATGTGAAGTACAGCGATTACGATGGTGAATTAAGCTAAGTAGGTGAAGAAGTGTGCATGGTGTCAGAACTAGACATGTAGAAGTGGACAAAGTTGTTGTTGTTCTGTCTGTGGACAGAGACCAGATGGAGTTTTTCATGCACAGTATGATTCTTATCTGAAAATTGCTTCACTAGTTTCTGCAGACCAAGGAAAGTCTAAACTGTAGCTTTGAAAAATGGGACAACAAGCAGAAGCATTCAGCAAAAGATGAACTGTAATAAAGAAAATATTTTTAAATATTTTCGTTTTCAGGAAGTACTGAGGTTTGCTCTGTTAAGGAAGGTACAGCAAGCTGAGCAATGGAGCATAATGTTTGTAAAGATCATTTTAAAATTCACAGTAAAAACAGTTGCGTTTTCTTTCAGTAAAGATTCGTCTTGAAGGACAAGATCAATACTGTAATAAATGAATATGTATTTTGATCTTTCAGTAATAGATGTAGTTTTATATTTACAGTAAAGGTAAAATTGCACATTGGCTGCAATTACAGGTTAGTGCAGGCTTAGTACATTTTTGGCACTTTTGTATTTATGCACCAGTTGTTGTAGGTCCAGTATGTACCCTTTTTCTCATTCTATTAACAGAATTACAAAGCATGAATATTTTTATAAATTGTAGAAAAATATTATTAAACAAATGTGATTATATTTTGCAATTAACATATAGTAAAAGCTTGGGTTACATAAAATTCAGCTAAGACTTTTTTATTCATAATATTCCTGTTTTGCTATTTTAAATTAGCTAAAGGAATTGAATAGTCAAGATGAAGAATCACGTGCCTTCCAAAGCTAAATCATTAGACAACAGATTTTCCCTTTTATTAATTAAGATTTTTTTTCTATCTTTCCACTCTGCTATTTGATACTGTCCCTTCAGCATCATTCAATACATTTTCTTAATCTTGTTGTTCTGAATCATGAAGCAGTCACCTCATAAACCTCTGTATGGGAGATCAGGTAGGGACTAAAGCCCAACAAATGGAGGTATGGCTTCTTCTGCAACAAAGAGTGGGAAAGCAGGTGGGTGATTTCATCTTTATGGCCCTATTTCATGGTTTTTTGGTGGTGTTTTTTTTGTAGCTCTCAAAAGTCATTGAACAGCATGTGAACATAGTCTACCTAATTTCCAAGGAATACACAAAATAATGCGTAAATTTGCCTATGACATTTAAGTTGAAAACTGCTTATGAATATGCTTCACACCTAATAATTTCAGGACATTTCAGGTCTCTTTACAGCAGCTGTGCTCCTAATGAAGCCGTCTCAGTATGGTTTACATAAAATTAATTTTCTTCTATTACTTATTTATTAATTTTTTTTCGATGTAAAATGTCATCAAAATCTATTCTCATCTAGTTTTCTTCGGCTTGTGAGACATGAACAGAAATATTCCTTTTATTTGATTCAAAGCTCCTTTCTTGCTGATTCATATTTTCATGGCTGGAGATGGCCAAGAAGTCTGATAGGTTGCAGAGAAAGAATCTGAAAGCAGAGCTCACTGCAACTGTATATCACTTTGTAGTCATGAGTTCTAGCTTTCAGATATTGTCAAGTTACAGTGTCACAGTTTTGTCTCTTCAGTCAGAAGTGACATCCTTTCTGTTTTTTCTCTCCTGTAAAACTATCTTTTTTATAACTTAAACACGCTTCTGCATATATGGAAACTCTTCCCAATCTTTTTGCTTTTAATCCCCTTTTTCCCAAAAGACTCAGTTTCTAAAACCTAACAGATATCATCTACATCAACTGCTTCTTTCTAGTCTTAAATCATCTTACCAGATGTGTACCCTAAGAACCAAGACATTTGGGTGTCCAAAATCAAGAGTAAGAGATCTAGGTTTTAGGAGCATATAGCTCCAGAAAAAGTGTTTCTGGAAATTTTCACATTGACACATAAAATAAGCAGGAAGTTTTTGCACTGGTCACTCATAATTTAAATTAAATACTACTCTCAAGATGAAATGAAGATTAATACAGTTTAATTGCCTACCTGCAACAGAAGGTAAAGAAATCTCAACTGAGGGAAAAGGCCGTTCCATGGGCACCATGCAGCAAGCCACTTAATTATGTAGTAGTGTAGTGTTTATGCATGATGTTTGCCATATCTTTAAATAGTGGGTATATAGCCTGATAGCCTATACATACACTGAATAAATAAAAATATGATATTAATTCAATCTCCAGTAATAATTAGTTCAATGTTTTTGTGAAGTCCTGCAGCATATTGAAAATATCACTTAAGTCTGACTCATATCAAATGAGTTCCACTAAAAACAATTCAGTTCCAGATTCTGAAGCTGTAGGTGCTTATTATTTTTTTCATCTAAAAACTCTCATCCCTGCAAATTGAAATTTCATTTGTTCAGCCTCTACACTGCACTTACATGTTAAACGGAAAGTGTTAGAACACATACTAAAAGCATTACAAAATTTGTGGTGATCCAAATCCTTTTTCCCTCTCTCCTGAAAAGGAAATAACAGCTTTGGAAATTTACGAAAATGGTAATAGTGGTACAACCTATTAGCAGACCACAACACATATTTTTACTTGTGCATGAATCTTTGTTTTTGTCATTCTAAAAAATTGCTCATTGTTTAGCTTCAAACTTGACAGTGTTCATATTCTAGTACTGTTAGCCTCCTCTCCATTGCTTTTCAGACTGTTTTTGCACTATACTGCACTTAATTTTACTTGAATTGTTAATGGCAAAATTCCTTTGAGTTGATTCAAACCTCTTTGATCAAACTTCCTCTATGATAAGAACTGCACAGATGAAGGCAAAATATTGTTTTTAAAACATATTCCTCTGTATATACACTGTACATTGTATTAAAGTATTTAAAATGTGCTGATCCATGTATAAAAGAAAGTCAGGTGGCCCTGGAACATGAACCAATTCAAATTATAGCTAATGTAAAGAGTATAAGAGGATCTCAAGGAGTTATTGAGTTTGTGGCAAAATTGTAGTTACAGGTAAAAATTATAGTAGAAGCTCTTTTTTAACTACAGTTACAGGAAGAGAAGGAGGTAGAATTGGCAGACATGGCTAGCTCACTGCCTATTGTTTGCATATACTTATGCTGTATCAGCATAGACCTCCTTTTTAAATCATTGAGTGCTAAACACCTTCCCCTAATCTAAGCACTAGCAACGTCTGCCTGCCTTCAGATTACTATAGTTTAAGAAGGCATGTTACATCATCTACCCCACCATGCTGTCTAACACAAACTATTGAACCTCATCCTGTTACAGCTGTTCTGAGTTCAACAGAACACCTCTGCCTACTTATGCTCCAGAAAACATATAACCATGGTCAAGGCATGCAAAGCTTGGGAGTTTTCTAGTTTAGTGTAAAAGTCTATTAATTTTTGCCCAGGCTGGTTTCAGAATTTGACTGGTTATGATGGGCACTCAGCACTTTCCCATCTGTGGGCAGAGGGTTGCATCTTGGTGTGGCAGCTGACATAATTTAGACTGCCAGTTGAGTGGGGCTTATATACTACAGTTTTCATCCTTGTAGCTGTTAATGTATTCTTGCAGGCAGCACCCAGAAGAAGAGGACTGTTTTGCAGGTGTCATGGTTTTAAGCCTAGCTGGTAACTCAGCACCATGCATCCTCTTCTCACTCCTCAGTTCTTCCCCCACTGCTCCCA